CTGCGATATCGCCGCGATAGAGCGAACACATCCGTCTTTATCTCTCCAATACCTACACGATGGAATGTAAATTATTGAAATCTAGTTTGAACGGTGGACTCGCTCGTCATGAGCGAGGAAATTTCCTGATTATACGCCCTATTCGTGTTCCGTGAAGCTTGCATAGTATATTACTCCTATAGAGGCAAGTAGCAGCATCATGAGTTACATACGTGGCATACATTCTCCTTTCGCTCGAATAGTGTGCTCAAATGATACCGTGGCTAATGTTGCAGATTTGTCAGCATCGTTTCTTTACAAAGAGAATATTTTACGAAGTAGCCAAAATGTGTATTTGTACTGTCAATTTTATATGAAAGTATATTATGCTTTTTTCTATTAATGAATGACGATAATGAACTATATGTAATTATTGGTAACAATGAATTTCTTATTGTATTGTTCATAATGAAGATTAATCATAATGAGTTTCTTTTTTATGTTGTTTATAATGATATTGTGTACCTATATTATATGTGTCCTACATTATATTATATTATATGTGAATTCTCTATTTTCTCTATTGCTTATAATGATGTTATATATTAAATATATTATATGTATTATATACAATGATTTTCTATTTTATTATTGATAATGAAAGTATCTCTATTTCATAAACATGTTATATTATATTATATTATACGTAAATTATGTATTATATTGTATTATATTAAGTACAATGATAATAAATTTCTTATTATGTTATTTATAAGAATTGATAATGACGAATAATAATACTGTATTACATAATATATAAAAAAATAATAAATATATAACTTTATTGTCTTTTATTATATTCTATTACAATGTAATGTATTATATTGTACTATAATGTAATGTGTTATATTGTATTATAATGTAATGTGTTATATTGTATTATAATATAATGTATTATATTGTATTTTAATATATTAATATCTAATAATATATTATAATATATTATATTGTATTATACAATGGTAATGAATTTTCTGTTATATTAATTATCAAGCTTATTATGTTTTTATACTATATTGATATTTTATTATATTATACGATATTATTTTATCTAATTTTTCATTCATATTCAATTGAGAATTTACAAATGAATATACAAATACATTCAACTGAGTGATATGAATAATTCAATTGAACATAATATATTCAATCAAGTATATGAATGATTTAATTCAATACAATACATTCAATCGAATATATGAATATATGAATAATTCAAATGATCACAACAAATATAACAAATATAAATAACGTTAAAAAAAAGTATCATC